AGTACGGAGAGATTGAGACAGAAGGAGGTACTGGATAGAGAGACCGGGATGGTTTTTAATGTGAAGACAACAACAACAACAACAACAACACACCCACCCCCAATTTTTCTTTTTTTCTCCCAACATTGGATTCTGTCGTCTGCCCCTCTGGCCCCTATCGTCCACTTCTACTAGCTAGACGACCCAACCGGGGTCACATAGGAGGGGGGGGCTGGACCCCCTCCGGCGGTTCCTGCCTGAGGTATTTTTATCGCGAGAAGGGTACAGCAATCCCTTCCTCGCAACTTACGAAGTGGATTATGGTTTACTAACAACGAGCTTTGTTTGCAGCGCGTCGCTTTCATCCTAGACCAGGATTGATTTATTGAGAAAAAACTCACTCTGCCGGGACTCGTGTGTATGTAGGTGCTCTGCTCATAGCCCCGTCTTTGATACAGCACGCGACACATTTTATTTTGATCGGTTTCCGAGGGCTCTTTTCTCGAACGGTCGGTGCGGTACCTGTTATTTTCTTTTTATCATTTTCTTTTCTTTTTCCGAGTGGTTTGTACCCTATTTTTGTTTTGTTTCCCCGCGGCGTCGTATGTGCCGGGTTTTGAGACCACGGGCTCCCCATTTTTTGTGAACTAAAGAGCTAATGTGAGAAACAACAACAACAACAACAACAACAACAACATTTCAATAACTTAAATTGAATTCTGTCCATGCTGCGCACCCTACTGCTGTAGACTCGAGGTATCTACGAACGCATAATTATATGGATAGTCTAGTACAGTTCGGGAAGGGGAATGAATGTCCGACGGCCGGGGGACATATTTTGGGGAGACTACAATTCTACTGCTGTATACCACTGCTGTAAAAAAAAAAAAAAATGCTACTGCTGTATTGTATTTACAGCAGTTCGTGTTGTATTAGTCTAATAATTAGAGTTGTGAATCGGAACGATGTACACGATATATATCGTCCGATATATATCGATATCGGTATCGAAAATTCGTGCCGGTGTTCCGACCGATGTTTTCTTAGGGGCTCCGTGAATCAAATTTAGGGTATGCGCAGCAGTACGGAGCCCCTGTACGCCACACACACACAGCACAGCAGCGCAGAAACAGCAGACAACAGCACCATGTCCANGCCGTAGGCGATATATCGGAGAAAATATCGTTATATCGGCTGCTGCGCAGCCGATGTAAAATATATCGTTTTTTCGTACCGATTCACAACTCTACTAATAATAGTATAGTAGTTTTCTTCGAACAAGCGGGTTTGTCTCCTGAACCAGCATCTATTTGCCTGACTCACGTCACGACGAGCAGAGGACCACAGTGGGGTGTCGCACCCATCCTCATAGGCCCGGCGAAGTTTTGATGGTGCACTCTCAGGTCGCAGTGGTGGCGGAGACTTACTGTCCGATGTGCCTCTGGGTGAGCTGGTGTGCTTACATGCTTTTTGTAGGTCCCTTTTTGTATTCGGCACTGCTCGTAGGAAATCATACCCCCCCCTCCCCCCCCCTGGAAAGTGCATTATTTTCCAGTGCAGTTCTGGCCCGTACCTCTTTTTTCTTTTCTTCCGACCCCTATGAAACTGGCGGTCTCCGATTGCTGTAGCTCTCTCTCGTTCCGCACACCCCTTGCCCCCCCTACGAGCAACGTAGGAAATTTGTACGGCGTAGCCATGGGTGGTGTTCAGCCCCTTAACAAGGTCAATGTGGTCAAGAAGCGCACGAAGAAGTTTGCGCGGCATCAGACCGACCGGTTTATGCGGATCAAAAACTCGAGCTGGAGGAAGCCGAAGGGTATCGATGGACGCGTCCGCAGGCGCTTCAAGGGATGCCTGCCTATGCCCAACGTCGGATACGGTAAGGTTCTGCATAGGCTTGTTTGCCAAGTGTTGTAGCGTGCTTCAAGTCAATAATAAGACAAAGGATAGGAGCGATGCTGTACGTATGTGGTAGACAGATCATCTCATGGCTGTAGCCACAGGCACAGCAATAGTGCATATTGCATGGTGTGCGTTCGGTGGACGAGGACAGCTCGTTTGTCGTAGCTGTTTTCTCCTACTTGCACGTTGTGGTCACAAGTCGGCATACGCGCAGGTACCCTGACACACAAATGAGATCAATCAGAAGGAGAACGACGTTGCTTACGGGAGTTTGCGGTAGTTTTGCCTAAACAGCAAGCAAGCTAGCGGTATGGCCTCCCGTCGCTGTATTTACGCCGCATTTTCTGCTCTCTCAGCTGCGCGCGCTCTGCACGTGCAACCGGCAGCAGCTTGCACATGAGTTTGCTTACCATGCCATGCTCCATCATGTGTTACTCTCTGCAGCATACACATGCGTATGACATACCCTCATAATATATTGCTGAGGCAGATGCAATTCCCAAGAACACCTTACACCAACACCCAGATGCATCCAACTCCAACCGCGAGTCCACTGGCTTGGAACGTACTCATCAGCACAGCAGAATTCCCTGATGATCTGCTGATGGTGCCTGTACAAAGTCTAGTTCTCTGTGCATGCAAATCGATGAGAGCCGTTGTAGCGGAGTCCAGACCCTTGGTCCAAACGATAGCACGGCGGGCAAAGACAGGCACATGCAGCAGGCAACGGAGCCCGTAATCTACAACCTACCGGCTTAATTTTCCTGTCGGCATACATAGTCTATGTTGACAGTAATTCTGCCGCACGATGTACAGGCAGCGGAGTAGCGAAGGTGGCAATTGTGGCCACGAAGGCCGATCAAAAAGACCTTCAGATGACGTTTCAAAAACGTATCTCGTGTGGTGACGATGTCCGAGATGTGTCGGTTTTCCCGTTTGTCCCCCTCTCCTGAGAAATAAATCGGGCGAAACATGCTTCTACAGTAGGAAGGTGTTAATTGTCACAAATGGCGTCACCTGTAATGCATATAAGCAGTACCGAACTCAGATTCACGATTCTACTCACGAGCGCGTTTGACCTTTTCCTCCCGCCTTCTCCTTAACGAACGAACGCCTGTGGCAAGGGGGTATCCTGTATCTGATTGTGGCGTTTTCATTGCTCTCGTTGATTTGCTAGAGAACCCAAGTTTGATCTCGATGTAGATCTACATCGAGATCTATGAATACGGCTACACATTTGATGCGCGAGATGAGCGGCGTGTTCTCGGAATCCGATCACAGACGTTTCACTCAGAGCCAGGAGGAAACAAACAAATGGACGCGCCGTAGTTCATGACACCCGAGGGACTGTTCGTCACGATTCCGTAGGCTACAAATCCTGCTTTACGTTCCTGCACCCTTTCTGCCACGTACGGGATGGGGGAATACTTAGCGCCGTAGACAGTGGTTTTCCCGCAAACCCGGTGTACTCCGCTACAGTCTAGATGTTGCAGACCCCATCGCGGCTAACAAAAGGGCCACTGGCAGCTGTAGACGAAAGTTGTCATCGCGCCCGGCTCGTCTCCTAATCTCGAGGGCCCCCCACAGCTGTTTTTGCCCAAAAACTGGTGCCTCAGTCGACGACAGCATGTCAAAACAATCGGCAAGAGCGTTCTCCATTCTTTCTGTGCCTTCTGTCCTGGCACACCAGCTGGCGCCGAAAAGTTAGGATTGATAAAGCTTTCCCGACTTACTGCAGCGTGTGCCTGCTCGGTTGCTGATTCGGTGAGGCCCGTTCCTCGTTCTTCGAGCTGTGCGTGTGACCAGCTTGCGCTTGTAGCTCGGGTGCGCTCGCTGTCACTAGGCGCTCGCTCATTTTTGGCGCAGAACGTGTGCCAGTCATCAAGCGAAACGCCGGCCGGAGAGAAATTGAACGGCGCACAGAGCCGAGACAAGTCAACCCTTTTTCTTCATCTCCCCTTTGGCCCAAAACTTGTCAGCCTGACACAGCCGGTTGTCTGTGGTACTGGTCGTACGCATGCGTGGACCCGCGTGAAAGACTGACCGCTTGCCTACCGGCCGATTCCATTGGGCTGATTATTTTCCCCTTGTCACGTTCGTTCGGACTGAAGTGCGCACGTTTGGACAATCACCGCACCATGACCAACACATCTGACAGCTATCCTGCTTACGGTGTAAAAGTCCGAGCATGATTTTTTGTTCTTCCCAAAGCACCAAAAATAGTCGCGAGGGAGAAAGGCAAGTACGGGGCTGTTCTTTCCCTTCATTGTGTCATGCTCCGCCGATTACCTTTCGGGTTTGACTCTCACATCCCCGCACACCTGTGTACTCGTGTGGTCAAACGATTTACACCAGTGACAGTGTGCAATTCAGTGCACTCAATTGCCCAAAGTGCCATAGCTGCTGGCCAGGCATTAACTTGACTACATTTAGACTTGCCGCGGGGAGGTAAATGCAGCGAACGAACACAACTCTCAACGAATACTCAAAACACGGGTCATGCTCCGGCTTGTCACGAAATCACCAGCCAAACACGAAAATTCATCGGCCTTGCTAAACAGGCTGGCGAAGACGGCCATTTAGTACTTTTGCGCGAAGGCGTTGCCACGAAATACCATCTTCCGAGTGCTCTATTCGCGCCGCAATCAGCTCTGGAGGCATCAGTACAGCTTTTTATCGTTGGCGTCTTTGTTGTACTGGTCATGACCCCCCGCGGAATTTTGTTTCGAGGTTTCTTCCACGCGATGTAGGCTGCATCACGTTAACTACCATGTTTTCCCTTGTTTTATTTTTCCACAGGATCCGACAAGCGCACCCGGAACATCCTCCCCAACGGGTTTTACAAGTTCCTCGTCCACAACGTGAAGGAGCTCGAGCTGCTCCTCATGCACAACAGGTGACGCGCTGCCTCTCTAGTCGCGGGGCTTGTGGAGGGAGTATTCACCCCAGTCGGTTTCAAACATATTCCGTTTCACATGCCACGTTTCTTGTTTAATATGTGGCTGTGGCGGGCGTGTTGGGAGTTGTGGATGTTGAAAGTTACTTTGGATGTCGGCGCCAACTACTGTGACATATGCAGCGGGGGAGGGTCGTATATACATTTCACCACAGACAAAAAAACGTACATTCTTTTCGCCAGCAATATCTGTGGGGGGGGCAGAGATCTTCCTCCAACATGAACAAGTTTGTTTTTTCACTCGGCTTGTGACACCCTTTCTTCCGCTGGCCTCTGTCGTGATTGGGTGTTGGTTGCTTTTGCCACCTCCAGGAAGTACGCGGCGGAGATCGCCCACAACGTCTCCTCGCGCAAGCGCAAGGAGATCGTGGAGCGCGCGGGACAGCTCCACATCCGCGTCACCAACGCCGGCGCCAAGCTCAGCGCCGAGGAGGACGCTTAAGCCTGCCTTTGTGACTTCGGGTGCTGTTACGCCCATGGCTTCCGTAGAGTTTAGTTCTTAGTGCGAGACCGGTGTCTCTGCTGTTGTTTCGTGCGAGGGTGGATCGACTCAACTCGAGCACAGATTTTCATCTTGTGTGATGAATTGATGCATGAAGAGCTTTTTTCTCTGGTGGCTTTAAGGGTGAACGCGGGAAGAGGGGGCACGGATGATTATTTGTTTGTTATTTCGTGGATCCGTCTCTTTCCTGTGCCGGTGCTACGGGGGGCATGGGGGGACAAGGACTAATATCGAGAGGTGTTTTTCCCAGTTTTTTTCGTGTCAGTCCAGCTTGCCAGAACGCCGAATCACATCTGTCGGGAGGTTGTTCCTCCAGGATGCGCTTGTTATCGCAAGCACATCTGACCGGTGTCTGAACATGAATGTACCATCGTTTTCGTTTTCTCCATTCCCCACAATGAGAACCGAACGCCTGGTATATCGAACGCCCTGACATGTTCTCTGCAGCCGATGCTCGTGGGCAATCGTCAGCCGATGAACGCTACAGAAGCAGCGCAGCAGCAGCGCAGCAGCAGCAGAGTGACGGGCGGACATGCTGCCTTCGCTGAGCTTAGCTTATCCCTCACTTTCAACCCCTCTACAGTAGCATCTGATTCGACCGATACAAGTCCGACCGACTTGGTTCATGTCAAATCGAGATCGACAGCGTGATCGGTGCCAAACTTGGACATGCTTTCTTTCTCAACCGTATGGTGGAGTCGGCATCGCCTCCAGCGAGCACCTCAGCCCCAGTGGACGCTTACCGCAGGCAGGCAGCACGAAAGTGCTACGAAGGAGCACCAGAAATCCTCCGCTGTTCGTTGATCGACGCCATGCCCAGAGACTACAACACAAATAAGCTCGTGCGAAAAATGTTAAAGGTTCTCTCCGTGAGAGGTTTTCGGACATGACCACCCCCGAACATTACGCAGTCACACAGACATGTGGACCCACCGTACCACCATATTGTGAGCATCTGACTTGGCTGACGTTAGACATGAAAGCAAAGGGCTCTAAGGGCATATGGCTGGTCCAGGCGCAGATTCCCGCTGGTTCGAAAGGGACTGAACACTTGGTGTGACAAACGATGCCTCCGGTGTACAACCAACAACGGATGCAGGTAGATGCGCCCGGCTGCAAGCCTAAGCCTCGCGATCGAGGCCATGTCACGAGTACACAACTTTCTACCCATGGCGGTTTCCAAAGCTCCAAGGAGCCAACGTACAAGTGGGTCTCATCCTCCCGCTTTCCCTAAAAGGGTTTGGGTTGACTAAACACCGCAGACAGGACGGGTTACTCGTCATCTTCAACCAAACACGAAGGCTCCGAAGACGCCTGGGTCAATAGAAAACAGTACTGCTGCTAAAAGTCAAACTGATTCACAGCAGTGTCGGTTCGGACATAGGAAGCACCCTCACAAGAATGAAGGCGCAGATCGTTGAAAAGGCATGTCGAAACTACAACTGTAAGAATGAAGGTTCAGCCGCCGGCACCACACTAAATATTCAAGTAGCTTCGGAACGGGCCGGCATTGCATTTTCTAAACTTCGGGCGAAAGGGGTCCTTTTGCACCACTATTTTCGTTTTCAAACGTTTTGCTCCGCTTCCGGTGATCACATTCCAACTCCATACTGACGGCCAACCACCGTGCAAACTACATGTAGTTTTCTTCGTAACGCCGCGAGGATCAGTCTAGCCATGGCACCCTTCTATGGCTTTATCTACCCTGCGTAGTTCAAGCTAACATGTACCCTCCCTAGCCATGTTGCCGCAATTCATACGAACTAGTCTAAATGCTGTGCGGTCGGGCACGGGAAGAAGGTTCGATGCGAGTGCAACCATTACCATCCTCCTCAGCCGCGCCCTTGCCTGTAGCACCCCCCCATGTAACGCACCCCCCCCACCTGCCGCGCCTGGGCGTCGTCGGAGAAGTGCTGCGTTTCGGCGCGTCTACCTCTGCAGCCTCGGCCCAAGACGCCGAGCTCGCCAGCAACCTCCCGGGAGCGGCAGACCGCCCTCGCCAACGCGGGGCAGGTTCTCCCGGAGGGACCGCGACCATACTCCTCTGCGCGGGGCGAGCAATTTCTTCTTTCTTGTCGTCAGCTCTTGGCGGCCCTTCCTCGTTGAGTGCTCCTCCCCGCTCGTCCGATCCGAGTCCCTCACTGCCCCTGCTTTCTCGGGCAGCGGCGGCGGTGGCGGCGGCGTCCTGCTCTCTCGCGGAGGATGGAGCAGCTGAGAAGCGCTCTTCCTCTCCAGTCTCTTGCGGAAAGGCGTAACCCTTCGCGCTTCCGCGGTGAAAACCATGGTTCTTTTCGCTGCTTGGTGTGGTCGTGCCGCTCATCGACGCCGCTTCTATCCAAGAAACCGAGAAATCGGCGGGTGGTGCCCAGCCGGAGTCGGCAGCAGCTCCGTCTTCTTTCTTCCCCGTTCTCGCCGTCGACGCTACCGCGGTGGTGGAGGTGGAAGAGGGGCCTTCCGCGCTGTCCGAAAATGGAAAGCAGACTAGCGTTTCCGTGGTGGAGGGGCGGTCGGTGTTGGTCGCGCTCGCCCTATCCGCTGCTTCGATTCGTTCCCGACTGTCGCATCTCTCCAGAACGACGCAGCCGCTCCTACCCAAATTGCTTCTCGCGCGCGCTTTCTGTTGGTGGTCGGCCTTCCGGCCGTGCGACGGCGCTATCCGTGATGCTGCGGCGGGACCCTCCTCTATATCCGCGGTATCCTTTGTAGGCGGTGGCGCTGCTGTAGTAGCCGCCTCGGCCAGGGCATCCGCAGCCGTGGCGACCGCAACCGCCGCCGTCGCAACCGCCGCCGCCGACTCCGCCGCGGCGCTGGTATACGACGCTGTCTCCACAACGCTGCTTCCGCGGCCCTTCTCCAGCACCGGTAGAGCAGTAGTAGTACAGGTGGAGGTGATAGCAGCGCGGCTCCGTTCAGGTGGCGGCGCCGTTTCCCCCCCCCGCCCTACGTCCCTCCGGGTCTCCTCCCGGCCTTCCTTTCTCGCCGATCTCTCGTCGCGGGAGATCTCTTCCCCAACGTGGAACAGTGGCGAGGACTTGGTGCTGGTTTTCTGCTGCTGCATGTCTGCAGACGAGGCTATGAGGGCGGCGGAGGTTCCGGCGGCGTCGCCAGCGGCGGCCGCGACGGCGGCAACGGCGGCGGCCTCTCGCCGGAGGGCCTCGTTGTCCGCGGAGATGCGGCTGTAGCCCCGTGTGAGAGAGCGGTAGCTCTCCGCGGAGGCGTGCTGGGTTTGCAGCTGGTCCTCGTATAGCCCCTTGTACGCCTGCATCAGGCTGAATCGAAGAGTGAGCGCGGGTGGGAAAAGTGGAATAAAAAAATGAGTCCTGAGTCCTCGTACAGCGCCTGCATCGGGCTGAATCAAGGGGGACATGGGGGCGACCGAATGGAACGAGTCATGGTCTGGTTTTCGACGTGAAAAAAGGATTATTATAGAAGCAGCACCATCGCCTCACTCGAAAAAAGTCGCTGGCGAAGAAGCGTAAGCAGGCCGGGTCGTGTGGTGGATTACGCCGCTTCTACATACAAGGGGAAGGGCATGAACAACGACGTTCACCTTTCGGCCTGCCGCCGGCGTCGGCGCTCAGCCATCCTAACGCTGCGAAGGTGCGCGTCGGACAGGGCTGTTCTGGATGCCGAACCTATCGCCTAGGGGCAAGAGTCAAACACATCAAGAGACACACACCAACGGACGGGTAACGGTAAATATGGGATCCGAAGGAAGAGCGAGACGCCAGAAACGGGGGGCGGGGCCAAAAAGATCGAAACATGACGTGGGTGATATACGGAAGGAGCAAGAGGTCGAACCAAAGTGTGCATACCTGCAAGACACGGTCAAGCAGGAGGCGGAGATCAAGCAACAGCTACCATCACAAGGAGTACCGCAGACAAAAACCCTCAGCCGAGAATAGCTTACAAGAAAAAGATCCACGTTATTTTCCCCATTCTGAAGCAAATTGAGCTGCGGTCACCGGCTAAACTAGTGCCTTGGGTTGTGTTAACGACACAAATAGGGACTCACGGCGCGGTCTTGTTTGATACGGTCCAGCTCTTGCCTCAGCGCCTTCGCTTCTCTGACCGCGTCGTCAGCCTTTCGTCGGTGTTCTCGCCCCAGCCCTTCTTCTTGCTGCACCGTTTCAGAGAGGGAACGCAAAGGGTCCGGGTGCACCGTCCGTAATGTTGGAATATGAAGAGGCATTCGGAAGAGGAGTGTTGTGTTATGACGAACACACTTCTTGATGCAATACGACCCACACACCAGACGGGCAGGCGACGACCACACCGCATCGACCACAGCTTGTGACAAATAAACGACATATGACGAATGACATCAACATCACACAACTCATCAGCAGTCGACTACATTCATCATGGTCTGATCGCGATGAGCGCCGAGCGATAGGTCAATAGCGTTTTCCATGGGAGGAGGCTGAATTGACCAAATTTGCATCAAGGGTTGAACTAAAGGCGAGGAACAAGAGTCGTGGTTGCTGCCGGGGGTATAGCGCAAGCGGTATTACCTTGAGCTGCTTCGCGAGCCGGCCGGAATCCTTCCTAGCCAGTACCAGCTCCCGACTCAAGTTTTCGACTCTTTCCCTCAACCATTCCACCTGCATTTGACGGAAGTTTCCGCAAAAGGGACCGGGCGAAACATGGAGATTCACAGCGGGTTGGTCTTGGCATGCAACTGGAGTGAGACACGAAGGAAGGGTGTTGCTCGAGGAGTGGGGATGCGCACCAGTGCTGCTACAGTTGTTTTGCTTTGATTTAGCTCTAGCCAATATCGTACGACTGCAAAGGCAGCACGGGTCGCAGCTACAGCGTGCGATGCTGTGCAGCCTAGTGACGGTGGCACATGCAGCAGAGAGACCGTCAAACCAAAAAGATGCGGGGGCTGTACGCCAAGTGTTTGGATTCTCATCATACACCGACAGGAGTTCGCCGACACGGATACGAGATAGGAGAGGAGGCCGCGACTGCTGCCGGATAAAACATAAAGACAGTAGACAACGAGGCAAGACCCAAGCCTCAGCCCAACCACAAACGGTACGTCTACATCCCGGGAAAACATACGTCCAAGTAAGCATAACCAGGTACGACGTGAGTGACTGGGCGCGGATTTCAATTACGGAGCGGGTGCGGTAACAAGGACCTCCTGTGCTGATAAACGAAAGAAGTACACCTCGCCGCACGGCAGTAGCTTGATCGTACTTGAAACTCACGACGACCTCGCTCCGTAGTTCCGCGAAACAAGCATAAGCATGACTGCAAGCAACAGGTGGCACTTGCTTGTATCTATGTATGTAGACTACACAGCAGGTTGAGAGCGAATGAATGCCCCCGGATGCTGCGACAGAAATTCAAACTCAAAAGTCTCAACGGCCCAACAAGCTTCGCGCGCACCTGCTGTTGTGAAACATGGTATTCGAGGTCTTTCGCCCTTTCTCCTCACCTCTCTCAGCAACTTCTCTCGTCCGGCCTGCACCTTCACATCACCGCCGTGGCTAGCCTGGCGGCTTCGTGTAGTCGAGGCGTCGTGAGGTTGCGTAATGCGTATCGTCGTCGCCGTCGATGCCCGTGGATCTCCGCCGCTGGGTCTGCGAACACTGCCTTCGCACTCGGCCCAGGCGTGTGCTGCAACCATGCCCGTCTCTTCCCGACCGACGAGGCTAACGAGCTCGAATCTCTCGTGCCCTAGCGCTAACCCAAGGTCCAGCAGCTGCCCCACTTCGGTGGTCGCTGCCGGGTGGGAAGGAGGAAGGGGTGCGGACATCTCGTGACGACGGCGGCGGATAATAGGATCACGTCTCCTGCTGGAGCTGTTGTCGGGAGCAGCGAAGTGCTCGCGGACAGACGAAAACATGACACTTCACGATGGCCGAGGGCAACAACAACAGCGGTCCTTGTTCATCTACAGGGACACTGGGTAATCGGTTGAGAGAGAGCAGCCAGATATACACTTGGCAGGGAACACTGCTGCAGTTCAGCGCTGCACGGCTGGAAAAAAAAAAATGGCGGAGGAACAAAGAATGTCGCTTTACACGGAATCGCAGCGCGACCAGCGTGCATCCACCGAAGGATTAGTAGACTATTACTGCGGTAGCTATCCAGGGAACCAAGATTTGTAAAACTCCGTTCACTGCAGGCTTCAAACTCATTGGCGCAACCCGCAGCACCTCCCCGAAAAAAAAATGAGACTCGTACAGCAGTGCCACCGATTGTGAGCCCGATTTTAGTTGACCGGTCATAACTCTTCTTGACTGCGGTCATGGATTTCGACATATTTTTTCTGTTCGTATTGTACGATAGTGTTGACAAGGCCCAATAACGAAATATCGATTCAAAATATATAGACTAATAAGAAGAATAAAGAAAACAGCATATATTTTTCAACATGAACATAACCTATGGGAAAAAAGTATACAAAATCTGACGAAAATGCAAAGACGAAAAAAGGCCAGACAACTCAACAAGAGACCTCGAATGTGGAGGGAGACAAGTAAATCTCCGGCCCAGACCAACGGCAGAGAGCTGTCGCTGTGAAATGAGCACCTATATAACTGCAACGCTGACGAACATTTTCCCACAACTGCTGTTTCTGAAATCGAGCAGATACAACACCTGAGATATCATCATATTGCGCCATAGACTAGAGATAAAATTTCGAGGAGGAAGGGAACTGTGAAGAAATGCTTCATTTTCCCCCAAATTGGCTTCCTGATTATTTCGGCATGTTGTCAAAAAGGTTCGGAAATGGAACCAACGCCATAAAATAGAACAGAGAGAGAGTGTCAATTATCCGCATGTTTTTTCGGTGGGTTCGCAGTAGTTGTCGAGTTATATGCATGGAGGATTCAGTCATTGGATTTAAGTCTTCTCCCTTCTTCCCCTCGCTCCTCGACAAGCTTTTGCTTAGACATGGGTTGTAGTGAAGGGGGGGGTCTTTCTGGCGAGCAGGGCTAGATTCACCCTCAAGGGATGACCGAAACCTTCTTGCTGCTGCGCATATCCGCCGCGAGGCATGCGCGTGGTGGTGTAGTTGGGTCGGCACTGATGGGGTCAGGCGAAAAAATGTAGATGCGCGGGCCTCTGGCCGTCGGCGTAGGCAGCGATGCCCATCTCATTTTTTGTGCGCGGAGGCAGACACCGTCAGAAGGTGGACGGGAACTATGTACACGGCCCTAGGTTGGCTAGAGGGCGCTGCATTGCCTCAGTAACCTGGCTTCGCCATCAAAGGAGGAGGGAGCAGGTGGCGACGAGCTGAGATGGGCTGGTTGACCCCTTCGGCGCGAGAATTTTTATTTTTCAGACCAAGAACCTTGTCAGCAA